AATAAAAAGAGAATTTTTTAATTAAAACTAATTAAAAAATAACCATTTAAAATAAAAATTATTGAGTCTTGGACATGGTATTATGATCCAAGTCTTCGTCAAGGCCCTTATGTTCAAGCAAAAGGACTTTTGTCATTACACCATTTTTGTGATGGATGATGTTTACATATGAACTACTATTGTGATTAGGAAGTGATGTATGTATCAATGTTTCATATTAATTTTCAATTTCACTAGAACTTTGCATGAAATTAATAGATAAGATTCATGGTATATTATCCCAAGAAAAATTGATGTGCTAAAATTTACTAATAAGTGTACTAGTTACTTAAGTAATAAAATAATAAAGTAATAAAAAGAGTGTCAAATTTAAAAAAATTATAATTAATTAAATAAAAAATCACTAATTTTAAAATTATTTGAACAAATAAAAAGAAAAGAATTTTTAATTAAAACTAATTAAAAAATAACTATTTAAAATTAAATTTATCGAGATATGATATGCTAAAGCATCTGATTTCATCAAAAGTAATCACCATAAGCAATCAATAAAAATATTAGATTATTATATTTTTAAGATATTTACTATTCATATAACAGCAGAATTTACTATCTTTTTAATATACTTTCTCTAATGAAAGCCTACCAAGGATATATTAATAACATAAAGATTACAATTTATCTATCATTTGCTATATAGGTAAGTACATAAAATCAAATTTCTACTACTATCTCATTCATGGACTGCTATTTTGTCCAAAAATATTGTTCCTACTTTAAAATTTCTTTTAACTCACATTAAAGATTGACACACACATCATATTTATTATAGGTCAATTTTCATATTTATGCTATGAGAATTAAAATAGTGATGGTAAAGAGAATAGACTAATAAATAATTTAGGATCTATTAATCCATAATCTAAATAAGGAAGATTAAATAACAAAATTAAACTTTGCAAGTTGAGCCTTCAAGTGAATATGGTTTATTAATTTTATACAGTATCATGTAAAGCTAAAAGCAAAACTAATTTACAAAGTAGAAGTGAGGAAGTAGTTGAATTGATCGTGATGAGTTTACCATTCAGTGCTAGATCTCAGGTGCAAGGATTTTTCTTCATAAAAATTTAATTGATAAATTATAAGTAATTACAGAGAATTTAAGAAAGAGATTCTTATTGATCCATCAAATGTGGATCTTTTCATACTACTTTCCTAGTTTGAAATTTCTATAACAATCTCATTCATGGACTTAAATTACCTAGAAATTGGTCCCTACTTTGAAATTCTTCCACATTTATATTACATATTGGTATATACATTCATCATATCTATTGCTTGTCAATTTCCACATTTACTTGACAAATGTGGTCAAGCAAATGTAAACGAGGAAACTTGCAAACAATTACAGGGAAGTGATGAACGTTATATTATATATTGGCATATACATGCATCGTATTTATTGCTTGTCAATTTTTACATTTACTTGACAAATGTGGTCAAGCAAATGTAAACGAGAAAACTTGCAAGCAATTGTAGGGAAGTGATTCCTAGTTTGAAATTTCTATAACAATCTCATGGACTTAAATTATCTAGAAATTGGTCCCTACTTTGAAATTCTTCCACACTTATATTACATATTGGCATAGACATTCATCATATCTATCACTTGTCAATTTCCACATTTACTTGACAAATGTGATCAAGCAAATGTAAACGAGGAAACTTGCAAGCAATTGCAAGGAAGTGATGAATGTTATATTATATATTGGCATATACATGCATCGTATTTATTACTTGTCAATTTCCACATTTACTTGACAAATGTGGTCAAGCAAATGTAAACGAGGAAACTTGCAAGCAATTGTAGGGAAGTGATGAACGGAGAGGAGTAAAAGACTCTTGAGTTATTTTGGCCTTTTTTTTAGAAGGTCCAACATTAATGTTGCTACTTTTTGGAGCAAATAATTTTCTACCAAATATGGTTCTCTTTCTCTAAGTTTTGGTTCCCACTTCTTGGCATTGTCTTTATTGTTCTTACTTTCTTTTTATTCTTTTGGATTCATTATAATAGAACTACATATTAAAAGTGATATTCGCCCCATAAATTTATTAAAACATCTTTAATGAAATTATTTATTATGTTATTTCATTAAAAAAAATTTAATAAATTTATAAATCAAACTACACATTTAATGTACAGTCTGCCTTATAAAACATTTTTTTTGTGTTTCTTTTATTATTTCTAATTTTGTTTCCCTTAACAAAGTAGAATTAAAGAAGTTAAAAGAGAAAGGGTTTATCTTTATATCTTTACCTAATTAAAAGATCTACTGATGTTTTAAAGCCCAATAATTTTTTCATTTAATCCCAATCCTTGGGCCTAGTACTCTAAAAACCCACTAATCTACCTATCTATCTATTTATCACCAATTCCCTAATTTCTTTCCAATAAAAGCCCATCTAACCAAGTAAGCCCTATTTTTTTACGTAATTAAATCATTAAAAAAAACCTACTTAGAGGTGTTTTGAAGCCCAATAGTTATTTCATTTAAACCCAACCCTCCGGTCCACTCTAAAAATCCACTAGTCTACTTATTCCGTTTCTCTATCATTGATTCCCTAATTTCTTTCAAGTAAAAGCCCATCTAACCAAGCAAGCCCATAAATTCTTCTCAATTCTCTCCACAAACGTCGGGCAACCACTTAATTCTTCTCAATTTTCTCCATTTTCTATTCCCTATTGTTCTTCCTTATCTACAAGTGATTGATGCCCGCTATTGAATATTCAATTGAGTATCTTATTTTAAATATAAATAAAATGATTATACATATTTAATTTTTTGAAAGAAATTTATAAACTTAATTATTTAAGGTAATGAT